GATTAAGAGGAAGACTTCAGTGGGCTCAAGACCAGTTGATAGTGTGAGACCCCGGACGGGAAGTAAGCCTCGGAGTGGAAGCAACAATGGGCTAAGTGGATGTAGCAACCAAGACCTGTGTACGAAGCCGGGACCTCAGCAAGGCAAGATCCACATTCGTGAGGCAAGTGCAAGTGGGAACCGTTGAAGTAAGCTCTTGTACCCTTTTGTTGCACCTTCCTTCGTTTTTATGCCTTTCCTGCGTGTTAGCTTCGAGCGTTAGCTTGTTCTAAAGTCACCCTTGACCCTCGGTAATATTTTCTCTTCTTTCCTTTAGACAAACCCTATCACCCTTTTCGCCAAGTAACCTTTCTCTTCCGAGCCTTGTCCTTGTGTTCTTTCTAAACCACCTTGTGCAAGGCAGCGTTGACATCAGCTTATGGAGAAATCTGGCAAAGTCTAAGAGTTAAGCCACGTCTGAGCCGAAGTTTCGCCGGAAGTCGTGAACCCTTTCACCTCTTGAAACCAACCCTTTTCTCTTACACTTGTCTAATCCCTAACCCTCTTTAAGCCGTTTTTGTCTTTTTACCTTAACGGAACCAAAAGCCTTTTTATTGGAAAATCCTTCCTACCTTTTCAAACCTCGTTCTTGTTCTCTTCTTGATTTGATTCTGTTCAAGGTTACAACCTCATCTTTCCTAAGTTGTGACTTTGAAAAATCTTGATTCCCTTTCTAATCAATGTTATCCTTGAACCTAGACCTAGAATTCTTCCGTGAGGAAATCCTTATCTATTCTTTTTAAACCTCGTTCTTGTATTTCTCGTTTCAAACGTTTCTGTGCAAGGTGGCAACCTTATTTCCTAAGTTGCAACTTTGGTGACTTTGATCCTGATCCTAATTAACGTCGTCCTCAAGTCTGGAACCTAAACGCTCATCCTCTTTTCTTTTCCAACCATCGTGTCCTTGAGTTTAATATCTAGACCCTTCATCATTCTCAACTCCCTTAAGTCTCGTTTTGATTCCTTACTCCTTGAGTTGTAGCCTTGTTTACAATTCTCCTTTTCTTAACCAACATGGTTCTCGAATTGTCAAACCTAAACCCTTCACTCTAATCTTTCCCGTTGAACCGAACCTCTTCTTGTGAGCCTCTTTTCCCTGAGTTACCTTTCTCCTTTGTTACCGTTCCTGTTTTGGACCTTACCTCCGAACAGAAGCTTTGAAGTTTTCAAGCATTCCCTTGAAGCGAGTAGCGGGTTGTGTGCTAGAGCAAGTGTTAAGTCGGTAGCCTACATCAAGTTAGCCCAAGAGCCGAGGGAAGGACATCCAACTTGTGTTTTGGATCTAGCAGTTGTAGCCTTGTCTGGAAGTGACGGATCGAGTTTAAGCAGCTGCCGAGCTCAAGTTAAGTAGTGGGGGTACCTTGTTTCCTTTGGTTGAAGAAGCCAGCAAAGATCAGTTGAAGATGCAACCCTGGTTCTTTGATCCCGAGTGATCTAGCTTAAGGTTCTTGTGGTGCCAGTTTCTGTTTGTGGCTTGTTCCTTAGCTGAGCCGTCTCGTTTTGAGTAGATCGTTGGCTAGTTTTGAGTAGGAGTTAGGCTCGGTGTGAAGTTAGCTTTCCTTTCCGGTAAATCTTTTATCTATCACCTTACCTTTCTTTCTTGTCTTGCCTTTGTGAACCCTCAACCTATCTCTAAGTCTTGTCTCTTGTTTTGTTAACCGGCGGTTTTGGTGTTGAACTTCGTTGTGACCAAACCTATCTATCTTACCACCTTACTTTGAACCCTTGGTTCCTCTAACTTTGGTTAGTGGCGAACACCTTTGTTGTTTAAAACCTCGTTTTCAACCCATCTCTTAAGCTTTGTCATCCGTTTCGTAAGCCGACCGTTTTCATTGTGGAACCTTGTTGCATCCCTTGCTTGTTTTGTTAGAAGGTTTGTTAGTAGTTGTTTGCTCAGTTGTGCGTTTAGTCGTTCTCTCTTGGTTGTCGTAGTTGTTAGCTTGTAGTTTGGGTAGTTGGTTTAGTTGCTTCGCTTTTTGAAGACGCAGTTTGTTGCCGTGCACCAAAGGCTAGATCAGATTGAAGCCAGCTCAAGCCGTAAAAAAGATGATGAAGAATCCGAGGAGTTGGAGAGAGAGTCCTTCTAGAGTGAAGCTGTGGCTACCGTGTTCGTCTTTTCTTAGTAGTTGTATCTCCTTAGCCGTTGTTGCCGTTGCGGTCGTATGTTGCTTGCCTTGCGTGCTTGTTTTTGCTTATTGCCTTGTTGTTTAGTTAGCTTGGTAGTAGTAGTTGGTGCTTTGTGTTGGTTGTCTTGTCCTTAGTGGTTGGCTAGAAGTTGGTGTTTGTGTTAAGATTAGAGTTCGTGATGCTCCAAAACATCCGTTTGTTAATTCTTGCTAATCCTTGGTTTGTTATGCCTCCTTTCTTGTATAGAAACTCTTGTGAAATCTTTTGAGTTTTGACCAAAAGAATTCGTTCTTGAACCTCTTGTCACAACGTTGTTTCCTTTCACCGTTTGTTCTAATTCGTCGTACCCAAGCTTCGGGGACGAAGCTTCTTTGAAGGGGGAGAGGATGTGAAACCCCGAAATTCAAATTCAATTAATGGATTAATTGAGTAATTAATCCTATTTCAATTGGTGAATTAATTCCTAAAATCCTGAAAATTCAATACTTGGGGACTAGTGATTGACTAGTCAACCCCAAAGTCAAAGTTGCACCTTGAGCTTTGAAGGGAGTTCCCTTGTTCCTTACACTTCCTAATGTTAGTAAGGGCATTCTTGACCTTTCACATGGTGTTAGTATTGTAACCTAACCTAGTAGATCATCTTCATTCTATCCCTTACACTTTCTAAAGATCTAGCTCTACCTTCTCTCTAAAAAGGTGAGTAGCTTTTCTTCCAAGCCAAGTTGGGACCTTGCCAAGACTTCAAGAGTTGCTTCCAAGATTCAACCTTTCTTTTGTTTGGGCATCTAGGAGGGCAAGATCTAAGTTCATCTTGTGTTTTTGGTTTCATCTTAGGTGTCTTTTCTTAAAGGTAGGATCTTTATGATCTTTTGGTTTGATCTTGAAGTGGGTTTGGAAGGTGAGCCTTGAGAAGAGCTTGTTAAGGTGTAAAGTGAAGTCTTTTAGTCTACAAGAGGTAACCCATGCTCTACAAAATCTATTTTGCTTACCTATATGTGATTTCTTGGATTCTACTTGTGTTTTGCTATGAAATGTGAGTGTTTATGCATTATCTTGTGAAAATGCATATCTAGAGCTTGTGTTTAGCGTTCATTTGTGTCATTGCTTGGCATTTCCTTTGATTCAAGTCATTTTGTTGTATTGGGTGAGATTTGGCATGTTTTGCACTTGAATTTGAGCTTGGAGTTGAAAATCCCCGAAGGGATTATTTGTGGTACAGGGGTGTACCCACGGGCGGAACGGCGGGTAGGGGTCCAACCTGCCGCCCACCCGCGGGGTACACATTTCGGGTGACCTGTCCCCGCGGGCGGAACCGCGGGTAGGGGCCTACCCGTGGGCCTACCCGCGGGTACGTGATATGGTGATGGTGGGGATTTGTTCCACGTCATTCTTTTGACTCGGTATTTGGTCTTTTGACTTCCCAATGTTCTTTAGTGGAACCATTTGAGTGTCTTCTTGATGTTTCGTATGTCTATAACTATGTGGTAGGTATCCATGTAGGTCTTTGGTGTTTTGTATCGTGCTAAGTGTTCAACATTGTGTTTTATTGAACCGTGATGAGTCTTGTATGTTCCTCGGAACTACTTTTAGTTTACCCGTTTGATAAGCATGCTAGTTTGGTGTCTAAATGCTAGCGTGTGTGTTGTTTGTACCTTCCGATTGATTGATGGTAACTTGTGTTATTCATCGTTGTTGTTGTTGGGCTGTCACCCATTCCTTGATCGAGTATGTTTCATATCTTCGTTGTGATTCGTTGAGTGACTCCTGTTGAGGTTTGATGTGTGTGTGGTTGTACCTGGATTGCACGATTTCGGTTTGTGGGGCCTTAATCACCAAGGTACGGAAGCGGTCCTCGTGGTGGCCGTGATGCGATTATGGAGTTTGTGGCCTTTGTGTAAGGTTCACGTGGTTCTTGGGAGGCATGTATTGTCGTGTGTGTGATCGGTACCCTCGTGTACTATGAAATCGTGGTTTTGTTGGAGGGACTGTTGGAGGGGGAACGACGGTTCCCGGGGGAATAAGGTTGGACTTGGTGTACAGGGGTCCTGGAGGTAAAGGTTGGAACTAGACATAAGGTTGGGGGTAGCCATAAGGTTGGAACAGGGCATAATGAAGGCATATCAACTCGTGATGAGTGATGTCACGAGGGTTTGTGTTGTCGTGGTTATGTGTTCTCTTCTTGTGACGTGTGTAGTCAAAAAGGCATGTGTTGCCTAGGGATGTGTTGCCATTTGTCGTGTCTTTATCTTTGAGTTGTTGCTATCCTTTGTGGTCTTGGGATGTGTTCCCGTGTTATTGTTGAGAGTGTTGAGTCTTGTGTTGGTTATGACTCTTGGTTTTACACTTATATATGTATATATATATATATATATATATATATATATATATATATATATATATATATATATATATATATATATATCGTTTCGAAAATGGTTTTACAACTTATACTTTACTTATGTATGTTATTTCACATGTATTGGTGGGTTACCAGCATTATTCGTTGACCGGGCGTCGTCTCATGTTTTATTGTGTTCTTTCAGGTGATGTCTAGGCGAGTGCGCTGTCTAGTACCTGTTAGCATAGCTTCCCGTTGGTTTTATGGCCTGTGTGCCGATCTAGTTGTAGACTTGTGAAACTTTGGATAGTTGTAACCATGCAGATATTGTCGTAGCGTTCATTGTTTGTTGGTGAACGTGGCATAACACCCCATGACTTGGATTTATGTTTATCCAATTATCTTTTAAGTCTTCCGTTGTGTTAGTTGCTTGTTGTGTTATCTGCATGTGTTAAGGCTTTTTAAATAGCATGGAAATTAGGGGGTGTTACAATACCTCCAATGAAATTGTTCTCAACAATAGAAAAAAAAAAAAAGAAAATGCGGGGAAGAGTGACAAAAAGGTTAGGGTGCAAAGTCCCACCTATGTGATTTCTAGCTACTTCAATAACCAACATTGATGAATGGTTGAATATGTGAAGGCACTGATCCCACAAGCTTCAGAGACTCAAGGATTATGGATGTGACTCTCTGGTGGCGACGGGAGCAAGAAACACCAGACCATTCACAAAAATGGTTGGTTTCATTCCATGAGGCCATCACACCAAATGGATCATCTTTGATCATTTTTTTGAATTCAAGAAGGGAAATAAGATCAGTCTCGTTGCCTCGTTGCTTGGATTCAGAGAAAATCATGGGAAGCCCAAGGATGAAGAAGTTCAAAAAATAGAGGAAAACAACAAGCTTAGTTGAAATGAAATTGGATAAGGTTGGGAAAGCCATGATCTGTGTGGTGTGGTGTGGTGTGGTGGAGGAAGATGGTACTACATATATAAGAATGGTTGGAAGGGCAGTACATAAATTGCACAAGACAGCTATTTTGTAAGCTTCTGATCTGCAGTTTAGAAAAGTAAAGAAAGATCCGCACGGACTTAGCTCAATGATTTAGTAGGTAGTATTTGAGGTAAGAGACCAAGGTTCGAACCTTGGCGGCGGCAGTGTGGAAATTATGTTCAAAGTGGGCAGATTCCTTGTGCGCACCGGCATTTGGCCATGCCTTCTAACCTATTGAGCCACCATGATTTACATCCTTTCACATGCTCTGTCGGGTCGGAGTGTGGGGGGCCTTTAGGGTTGGGGATTCAGCCTTTTGGGGTAAGAAAGAGAAGCGAAAATGTCTTTTTGTTTAGATCAGGAGAGCAGACCCTAATTAGTTATGTAGATTGCATTCAATATGCTATTTAAATGCATTATTAAAATCAGTTACGGAGTATTTATGTTTATTATTCGGTATTATAGAATTTTCTGATATTATTTAGGATTAATTATTCTTCCAAAAGGCTGAACCCCAACCCTAAGGGCCCCCCACACTCCGACTCGACAGAACATTTTGAAGGATGTAAATCATGGTGACTCAACTGAACATGAACACATTATTACTAAGCGCCAATTATTACTAAGCGCCAAGTTTGAATGTTATTTGCGTTGAATTTAGTTGGCAAATTTGACACGATGAAAATGGCCTTTGTGAAATGGATTGTTTTAATGTGTTCATTTTCAAAAACAAACTCTAAGAGGGTGTTTGGTTGGAGGCGGGGAATTATGTGGGAAAGGAATTGTAATTTTATGAGAGTTGAATTATTGGGAATAAAGTGAAAATTTAAATTTCAGTGTTTGGTTGACAGGAATAGAATTACTGGGAATTTCAATTCCAATGTTTGGTATACATGGGAATAAGTAGTATATAGTCCAAAATGTTCATTGTTGTTGTTAAAAGAAAAGATCAGACATTCATTTTAGGTTAAAAAAGAGAAGGGTAATTTTGTCTCATCAGTATTTTTTTTCGTCATAAAATCCCAGGAATTAAAATACCAGGGGGAGACATAGGATTTTAATTCCATGAAAATGGGGGAATTGCAATTCCCTCCAACCAAACTACGGAATTTAATAGCCTTTGGAATTATGTGGGAATTAAGTGGGAAGAGAATTTAAAATCCCTCCAACCAAACGCCCTGTAATTCTGTAAAGTTAGTTTGTATTATAACTTTGATATTTAATTAAAAAAAGGTATGCAAAAATAATAATAAATAATGGATAATGTAATGAATATAATCAATTGATGAATTTGAATTATGTAAAGAATTTTTATACTGGAGAAAAATAAAGACAATATAAATAATAAAATTATTTCTCTTATTTAATTTATTGATAATGAATAATTTGTTTTGAATAATTAAAGGCATTGTAAACACATAATTCTAAATTAAAGAAATGCATATGTATTATTTTTTATTATAGCTACTGAATTATTTATAATTTAATAAGAGTAAAATAGAGTACTAATTATGTCAACTTTGATTGGGATGAGGTTCGAACCTAAGATCTTTTTTTTTTTTAATCAATGAGTAAGTTAATAGAGAATATAATTTTTAAGGAAATTTTGATTGTGATATGGTTCGAACCTAAGACCTTTCATATTGAAATCATATAATTAAGGATAACTTTGGAAATCTCAAGAAAAGAGAATTTTGATTGTGATGTGGTTCGAACCTAAGACCTTTCATATTGACATCATATAAGAGAAAATTTCAATTTTGGTCCACTGACTATTGGGGTTGTGTTAATTGCAACACTTGACTTTCAAAAATGATAATTTAGTACCTTGACTATGCAATTTCTTTCAATTTTGGTCACTCCGGCCAAATTACCGGTCAAATCTCACCGAAAATGTTTAATAGATCAAATAATGAGGTCTTTTTTGATCATTTTACTTTTTCCCTTTCTTCCCTGGCGAGCAACTCCATTTCCGGCGAGTTTCATACATAGAAGACCAAACATTTGAGTCATCCTTATCCTTCTTTTCTTTCTTTTAATAGGTCTAGCATCATCAGACCAAACATTATGACAACTAAGACCAAACATCCTTATCAGACCAAACACCTGAGAAACGTCGGCTGGCTATGATTTACCTTGGAGCGGAGATGAGTAAGCCGAGAAGGGTAAGGTTGAGCAGGTGGGATCAAAGCTGGCTCACTGAAGAGCAGATTCAGAATACTCCATCTTCACATCTCGACTTGTTACAGTAGTTGGCTTTGAAATCATATGAATGTTAAGAAATCTGCTTCAATTCCACCATGAAAGGCTACGCTATTTTTGTATTTTGAATATTTTTAGTGACTATCATGTAAAAAGAATCGTAGGTTGTCGGCGAGCTCAAACGGAAGTTGCGTGAGGCAGGTATTCTCCGGTTGTTCGTCGCCGGAAATGGGGTAGATCATGAAGAAAGGAAATGAGTAAAATGACTAAAATACCCTCATTATTTGACTTATTAAATATTTCCGGTGAGATTTGGCCGGCGTGACCAAAATTGATAGAAATTGCATAGTCAAGGTACTAAATTATCATTTTTGAAAGTCAAGTGTTGCAATTAACACAACCCCAATAGTCAGTGTACCAAAATTGAAATTTTCTCCATCATATAATTAAGGATAACTTTAGAAATCTAAAGAAAAATTAAAATCTAAACAATTAATTTGATTTAATAATTTCACAGTCGTTTTTTATACCAATTATTATATGCTTAACTCCTTTTGGCTCTTATTAGTATATATAGTATAGTAAATATAGATACCAACCGTCTACTCTCTAAGATTATTATGTTTGTCTAAGTTTGAACTGATATTGGATTATTGGTAACAGACAGAAGAATATAATTAGGATTTAGGCATCAGTGCATCATATCACTGTTCTTTGTAAAACACAGTGCACTGCCCATACTGCCCTCGGATCCCCATTTGCCTAACTCTGACCTTGGCGTTGACGTTGACGTTGACACCCACACGATGTAGATTCCTTTTGTTCTTGAATTATGTATTAAATATTAATTAATCAATAAATACTTCTCAACCTTACAAAAATTACATAATTGTAACCCCTCACGTTTTTTTTTTTTTAAGGAAAAAGTATTAAATAACCCCTCAAATTCTATCCAAAAGTACAATTAAGCCCTCCAACATTAAAAAGTTAATTTAATTAAACACTTAAACTTGTCAAAATAGACCAAATAAACCATATTTACCGGTAACCAATAGGTTACCAGTTATTCACCGCCCGAAAAGCTCAAATTATGGTCACTTTGCCGGAAAGACGACCATCACCTTCGTCGGGCGTTCTTCTCCATTGTCGGTCAATCGATCATTCTTCTCCAATGCAAAAAACGACTCGACGATTATCTTCTCCACAACCATCGTCTTCTCCATTCGGACAGGTCGTTTTCTCCAATGGAGAAGACGAACAGACGGTCGTCTTCTCCACTAGAGAAGACGACCAGTCCGGTAGTCTTCTCAATTGGAGAAGACGACCAATCTGGTCGTCGAGCAGATGGTTGTATTCTCCATCGGAGAAGAAAACCGTACGCCGGTATCATGACGTTTGTTCGATGACTGCCGGAATATTGGACAGTAATTTATTGACCAGTTATTTCAGGTGAACAATCAGTCATTTGGATTTTAATGTATCAAAATGACAAGCTTGAATGTTTAATTGAACTTTTTTTTAATGTTTGAAGACTTAATTACACTTTTGGATAAAATTTGAGAGCTTATTTGAACTTTTTCTTCTTTTTTTTTTTTAATTATTATTTCAAATCTTAACTTACAACAAATTGTTGTGAGTGAATTTGTATAAGTGATAAATGTAAAAGAGTGTAGCAAAATCGTAATTAATTAGTCTATGTTAATACAAAATGTGGATTCATATTCATTATAATTATTCATGTACTAGAAGAACCCTTCTCAGAAACTACTTAGTATTCAGTATTCACATAATCAAGTTTAATTGAAATTATTTACAATTTAATTGTTTTTAATATTTTAATTTTAAGTTGCATTTGGAAGTCCGATGAAAGTCAATATTTGAATTTTGTTTTTTAAAGAAAAAACACTCATTTTAGCAGAAATGTCTTCTAAGATTTTTATTTTACGGATATTTTCCGGACTCTTCTCTTGCTGTGACTTTCCCTCGATGTGTCAAATAAGTAAAAGCCAACCCACCATATGTAATAGATTTTTTTTTTTTTAAAGTCAACCAAAAAACAAATCTAGATTTCAATCGAACACTAAAAATTTGAATTATTTTATGAAAATTAAGCTATTTAAAAAAAAAAAAAAGAAGTATTTTTTAAGTTTTCAAATGAACCCCTAAAGTGATAATATTTATTTAGTATGATCAAATAAGTATGTTTAATTGTATTGAGTACTATCAATACTAGTGCCAATAGTTAAGTTAAGAATCTTTAGTGTTGTTACATAAGGAAACTAACATCCAAAAACTACCTACTATGTAAATAAATAAATAAATAAACAAATTAAATAAATAAATAGAGGCAAAACCTGAATTAAAAAAATGTAAAGAAAGTTGGTAGGAAGGAGACGAGGAGTTGAACAAGGCATGCATGCATCCTTCTTGATCAAGTCTTT